ATCAATCAATCAATCAACTATTCGACCATTCAGCTATTCAACCACTCAATCATTCAACCATTCAATTATTCAATCATTCTATCACGTTGACCCCCACCCCATCCCCGCAGTCAGAAATTGCGAGCCCCCAGCCAAAGTTGCAAGCGGGCACGTGACCTGTCCCAACGGCACCCGATTCCAAGACACCTGTCACCTGGCCTGTCACCCTGGCTTCACACCTGTGGGGGCAGGGGAGATCACCTGTCAGGAGGATTTAACCTGGACCAAGAGTGGCTATTGTCAGGGTCAGTGCTGCATGTATTTTGTTTTGCTAATGGCGTGAGTTTAGTTTTAATGGGAGCAGATTTCTTTGGGAAGTAGCTTTTATTTAATTTGTTTCCTCTGTCTGTCTGTCATAGATCGAAACGAGCGAGCGAAATTTTGGGTACTTCTATCAGACCAGTTTCTCTGAAATTCGGCGCGCGGGTCAAGATTTGAAGACAATGCGATATTACAATAAATTTGACTTATTGGATGCATAATTAATTTTTCATGAGTTATTTAAAATTTTCTGAAATCAGTAGGCTGTCCTCTCCTACTATACCGCACACTTATACACGCAATAGGTTTTAGTAATGCAATTATATTGTATTAAAAATTTTAACAGTTATATACAGTTATTTAAATAGTAATGTATTAGTATATATTTAAAAGAAATAATTTATTGTCTCCTTTTTTAGTGCACTATTCCATACAAACTTGTTATTAAAAAGTTTATTATTCATTTTTTTTTGTTGACTAGTTTTGCATGTTTTGAATATTCTTTCGTTAATATTTTACATAAACTATTCAAATTATTCACCAAAGACGTACAGCCGCCAGTGTTTGTTGACGGTTGCCATGGAGATATCCATAAAGAGGCTGCGAGTGTTGGAGAAGACACACGTGTGGTCTACAACTTCCCTCGTGTGTCGGACAACTCTGGTCAGGTCCTTGTGTCCGGACACCCACAGTCAGGGTCAAGGTTTCACGTCGGCGTGACCTTAGTGACACTGACAGCAGTGGATGTCAGCAACAACAGCGTCACGTGTTCGTTTCACGTCAATGTCACGTGTAAGGTTTTTATCTCATTCAATGTGGTATACATACTGTATATATAATATATATTTTTGTTTGTGTTTTTGTGTTTGAATTTTTGTTTGTCTTAGCGTTACGTTTGCGTTTTCTTTTGTGTTTGAGTTTGCGTCATTATTGAGTTTGTGTTTTCTTTTGTATTTGTGTTTAGTTTTGTTCTGTTCCCAAGTCGATGCATTTAAATAAGAATAACCAATATGCAGATAGTATATATATATATATATATATATATATATATATATATATATATATATATATATATATATATATATATATATATATATATAAAATGTTATATTAATTTTAAAAATCACAACTATTGTTTCGGTACTTTCATAAGACGCTAGGTGTAAGACCCCCAACATTGAGCAGAACGTCAACAGTCTGATTGTCTACGACTGCCCCAACGGTCACGTGATGGGCGCCTTGTGTCAGCTGACCTGTCAAGATGGCAGTGAGGTCAAAGGACCAACGTCCATCCATTGTTCCAGGACCTCAGGCGGGAGGATGACGTGGGCGTGGTCAGGCAACACGCGGCCATCTTGTAACTGTAAGATATTTAAGTGTGACATGTGAACGTTTAATTATGTAACAGTGAAATAGAGCATTGCAACCCCCTCTACACCCAGCTATCTCCTTATCTTTAATCTTGCACCCAGTCAGGGTAGCTTGCTTTACTCTTTGACGTAAAACGAACGCTCCTATATAGTTCCGGTGGTATTTGAAGATTATTTTTTTTTAAAAGATAAGTAATTAAGATTTTGGGTCATACATCCCCTACCCCCCCCCCCCCCCTCCCCCCACTTTTACATTCTCCTTTTGTTTATTCTCAGCGTTTTAAATCTACGCCGACTAAAGACATTTTCTACTTGCGTTCTTGCGTTATAATACAGTGCTAGGAGTTTTTACATCAATAAAAACATAACATGTTTTTCTCAGCCAAAACCTGCAAGCCCCTGCCACCCCCAAACAACGGAGCCCTGAGCTGTGACGTCACCAACGGCACGAGCCGCGTGTGTGTGGTCATGTGTAACGAGAACTTTGTCCGCCAGGAGGCGGCACCCAGCTCGTACGTGTGTATGTCGTCAAGTCAGAGCTGGTCACCTCGGAGCTTTGTCCCCAACTGTCTGGGTAAGTATTCATGTATGTCATCAGGAAACTTTGTCCCCAACTGTCTGGGTAAGTATTCATGTATGTCATCAGGAAACTTTGTCCCCAACTGTCTGGGTAAGTATTCATGTATGTCATCAGGAAACTTTGTCCCCAACTGTCTGGGTAAGTATTCATGTATGTCATCAGGAAACTTTGTCCCCAACTGTCTGGGTAAGTATTCATGTATGTCATCAGGAAAACCCAAACTGTCTGGGTAAGTATTCGTGTATGTCATCAGGAAACTTTGTCCCCAACTGTCTGGGTAAGTATTCATGTATGTCATCAGGAAACTTTGTCCCCAACTGTCTGGGTAAGTATTCATGTATGTCATCAGGAAACTTTGTCCCCAACTGTCTGGGTAAGTCTTCATGTATGTCGTCAGGAAACACCAACTGTCTGGGTAAGTATTCATGTATGTCATCAGGAAACTTTGTCCCCAACTGTCTGGGTAAGTATTCATGTATGTCATCAGGAAACTTTGTCCCCAACTGTCTGGGTAAGTCTTCATGTATGTCGTCAGGAAACACCAACTGTCTGGGTAAGTATTCATGTATGTCATCAGGAAACTTTGTCCCCAACTGTCTGGGTAAGTATTCATGTATGTCATCAGGAAACTTTGTCCCCAACTGTCTGGGTAAGTATTCATGTATGTCATCAGGAAACTTTGTCCCCAACTGTCTTGGTAAGTATTCATGTATGTCATCAGGAAACTTTGTCCCCAACTGTCTGGGTAAGTATTCATGTATGTCATCAGGAAACTTTGTCCCCAACTGTCTGGGTAAGTATTCATGTATGTCATCATGAAACTTTGTCCCCAACTGTCTGGGTAAGTATTCATGTATGTCATCAGGAAGCTTTGTCCCCAACTGTCTGGGTAAGTATTCATGTATGTCATAAGGAAACTTTGTCCCCGTCTGGGTAAGTATTCATGTATGTCATCAGGAAACTTTTTCCCCAACTGTCTGGGTAAGTATTCATGTATGTCATCAGGAAACTTTGTCCCCAACCGTCTTGGTAAGTATTCATGTATGTCATCAGGAAACTTTGTCCCCAACTGTCTGGGTAAGTATTCATGTATGTCATCAGGAAACTTTGTCCCCAACTCTATGGGTAAGTATTCATGTATGTCATCAGGAAACTTTGTCCCCAACTGTCTGGGTAAGTATTCATGTATGTCATCAGGAAACTTTGTCCCCAACGGTCTGGGTAAGTATTCATGTATGTCATCAGGAAACTTTGTCCCCAACTGTCTGGGTAAGTATTCATGTATGTCATCAGGAAACTTTGTCCCCAACTGTCTGGGTAAGTATTCATGTATGTCATCAGGAAACTTTGTCCCCAACGGTCTGGGTAAGTATTCATGTATGTCATCAGGAAACTTTGTCCCCAACTGTCTGGGTAAGTATTCATGTATGTCATCAGGACACTTTGTCCCCAACTGTCTGGGTAAGTATTCATGTATGTCATCAGGAAACTTTGTCCCCAACTGTCTGGGTAAGTATTCATGTATGTCATCAGAAAACTTTGTCCCCAACTGTCTGGGTAAGTATTCATGTATGTCATCAGGAAACTTTGTCCCAAACTGTCTGGGTAAGTATTCATGTATGTCATCAGGAAACTTTGTCCCCAACTGTCTGGGTAAGCATTCATGTATGTCATCAGGAAACTTTGTCCCCAACTGTCTGGGTAAGTATTCATGTATGTCATCAGGAAACTTTGTCCCCAACTGTCTGGGTAAGTATTCATGTATGTCATCAGGAAACTTTGTCCCCGTCTGGGTAAGTATTCATGTATGTCATCAGGAAACTTTGTCCCCAACTGTCTGGGTAAGTATTCATGTATGTCATCAGGAAACTTTGTCCCCAACTGTCTGGGTAAGTATTCATGTATGTCATCAGGAAACTTTGTCCCCAACTGTCTGGGTAAGTATTCATGTATGTCATCAGGAAACTTTGTCCCCAACTGTCTGGGTAAGTATTCATGTATGTCATCAGGAAACTTTGTCCCCAACGGTCTGGGTAAGTATTCATGTATGTCATCAGGAAACTTTGTCCCCAACTGTCTGGTGGGTAAGTATTCATGTATCTCATCAGGAAACTTTGTCCCCAACTGTCTGGGTAAGTATTCATGTATGTCATCAGGAAACTTTGTCCCCAACTGTCTGGGTAAGTATTCATGTATGTCATCAGGAAACTTTGTCCCCAACTGTCTAAGTAAGTATTCATGTATGTCATCAGGAAACTTTGTCCCCAACTGTCTGGGTAAGTATTCATGTATGTCATCAGGAAACTTTGTCCCCAACTGTCTGGGTAAGTATTCATGTATGTCATCAGGAAACTTTGTCCGCCAACTGTCTGGGTAAGTATTCATGTATGTCATCAGGAAACTTCGCCCCCAACTGTCTGGGTAAGTATTCATGTATGTCATCAGGAAACTTTGTCCCCAACTGTCTGGGTAAGTATTCATGTATGTCATCAGGAAACTTTGTCCCCAACTGTCTGGGTAAGTATTCATGTATGTCATCAGGAAACTTTGTCCCCAACTGTCTGGGTAAGTATTCATGTATGTCATCAGGAAACTTTGCCCCCAACTGTCTGGGTAAGTATTCATGTATGTCATCAGGAAACTTTGTCCCCAACTGTCTGGGTAAGTATTCATGTATGTCATCAGGAAACTTTGTCCCCAACTGTCTGGGTAAGTATTCATGTATGTCATCAGGAAACTTTGTCCCCAACTGTCTGGGTAAGTATTCATGTATGTCATCAGGAAACTTTGTCCCCAACTGTCTGGGTAAGTATTCATGTATGTCATCAGGAAACTTTGTCCCCAACTGTCTGGGTAAGTATTCATGTATGTCATCAGGAAACTTTGTCCCCAACTGTCTGGGTAAGTATTCATGTATGTCATCAGGAAACTTTGTCCCCAACTGTCTGGGTAAGTATTCATGTATGTCATCAGGAAAATTTGTCCCCAACTGTCTGGGTAAGTATTCATGTATGTCATCAGGAAACTTTGTCCCCAACTGTATGGGTAAGTATTCATGTATGTCATCAGGAAACCCCAACTGTCTGGGTAAGTATTCATGTATGTCATCAGGAAACTTTGTCCCCAACTGTCTGGGTAAGTATTCATGTATGTCATCAGGAAACTTTGTCCCCAACTGTCTGGGTAAGTATTTATGTATGTCATCAGGAAACTTTGTCCCCAACTGTCTGGGTAAGTATTCATGTATGTCATCAGGAAACTTTGTCCGCCAACTGTCTGGGTAAGTATTCATGTATGTCATCAGGAAACTTCGCCCCCAACTGTCTGGGTAAGTATTCATGTATGTCATCAGGAAACTTTGTCCCCAACTGTCTGGGTAAGTATTCATGTATGTCATCAGGAAACTTTGTCCCCAACTGTCTGGGTAAGTATTCATGTATGTCATCAGGAAACTTTGTCCCCAACTGTCTCGGTAAGTATTCATGTATGTCATCAGGAAACTTTGTCCCCAACTGTCTAGGTAAGTATTCATGTATGTCATCAGGAAACTTTGTCCCCAACTGTCTGGGTAAGTATTCATGTATGTCATCAGGAAACATTTTCCCCAACTGTCTGGGTAAGTATTCATGTATGTCATCAGGAAACTTTGTCACCAACTGTCTGGGTTAGTATTCATGTATGTCATCAGGAAACTTTGTCCCCAACTGTCAGGGTAAGTATTCATGCATGTCATCAGGAAACTTTGTCCCCAACTGTCTGGGTAAGTATTCATGTATGTCATCAGGAAACTTTGTCCCCAACTGTCTGGGTAAGTATTCATGTATGTCATCAGGAAACTTTGTCCCCAACTGTCTGGGTAAGTATTCATGTATGTCATCAGGAAACTTTGTCCCCAACTGTCTGGGTAAGAATTCTTTTATGTCATCAGAGTTTCGTCCAGGCATTTCTTCGGGGGAGCGTAGCCCCCCACCACCAAAAAAAATGGAATTTATATAGAAAATATTTCTTTATCAGTGTCCGCACCCCCCCCCCCCGGAAAATTTAGTCCGCACCCCTTCCTTTCCGAAAATTTCAAGTGCCCCCCCCCCCCCCCCTCCCGGAGAAAAAAGTATGTCATGAAACCAGACCTGGTCAGCACGCAGCTTTGTTCCCCTCTTGTCCAAACTTCCTGACTTAAAATGCATGATCAGAACGTACAAGCTAAATATGACCATTTCAACAAAACATTTTCGTAAATTTCAGTCTAGGTTAAATTTAACAGTGTACTACGTTTTCACCACTTAAAGCCAAATTTACAATTGATTACTTCAGTTCCAGTACGTCCTCAGTACATCATGACGTCACCCAGCTTCTACTACTACAGCGGTAACTGTAGCAGTGACGTCAGTGTGGTCAAGGATAAATTTCTCACGGCCTTGTCAGCTCTAGAACTGGTGGTGGCGGACCAGAAGGTTGACGTCAGTGAGGTCAAGGTCACTTGCGGCAGACAGACCAAGAGACGAAGGTCAAAGAGAAACCTGGTCTATGCCTACAAGGTGAAAAGTTTACGTTTGTAATACTTTGCTTTTTTATATGAGGTTTTGTTTACCAGACGCGAATCAGAGAAAAGAAAATTATTTATTCTGAACTCTGCAAGACATACATGATGTACATACTGAAATTTAGTCGAGCATTCATTAAATTTACCTGAAAACTCACTAAATTTACATCGGTTCATTAAATTTACATGCACGTTTGGACTAATATTTACATAATTAAACAGTCACAGAAAACTCAGAGAGCCTAAAGGATTTAGAAAAACTAATCGAGGAAAACCTCGAGTAAATTTTTATTTGTTGATCTCACAATAAGACGTGTTTTTGTGTAAGAACGTCTACAAAAATATGGCCTCAAGAAATAATTTAATTTAAAAACATGTCTCTGCCTCCAGTTGACGCCCATCATTAAAATCGGAATAGATCATGACGTCAACCGAACAGTGACGTCATACAGCTTTGTCAGGAACTCTATCAATGAAAAACTGTCAAATTTGTCGACATCCAGTGACCTTGACCTACCTGGTATCGGCAGTTTCAGCAAGGTGAAGTCTGGTCGTCTGGAAGTTCGGTGTGGCCTGGGCACCAGATTGCTGAAAGACTCTCTGACGTGTGGTTAGTCAACACGTTCGTTGTGTGAATCTCAAGACACAAGCACAGCACATATCACATAGACATAAACACTTAACACAAATATATCTCCGCAAGTAAATAT